GAAATGTAAAATAAAGTCAGGAGGGAGATTATATTCAAAATGCACATTGTTAGAAATATATAAGCCACAAATTGACCTGAAGTTCTAGCAGCCAATACAAGGAGGGAAACTGATCACTTATATTCATTCAACAAATATTTATTAAGTAGCCATGATATGATACATACAGTAACCCTGGGCTTTGGGGACACATGTCCCCCATGGAATTTATATTCTGCAGAAGACTCAGACATTAATCAAATAATCAGGACCAACCGTAAATTGACATAACTGCTACAAAATTAAGGGACAGGACTTCATGAAACCAAATAATGAAAATATTCCATTTGGACTAGAGAGAGAACTTGAGCTTTGACTTAATAAGTAGCAATGAACCAGAGAAACAGTTCCAAGGAGAGAGTAAGATTAAAAAAACCTGTTTCTCCATAGCAATGCCAATAGAATGTAGTCCCATCTTACACTGAGTTCAGTTTTTAGGCAGGCAAAATTTATGTGTGGTCAAAATAACCTGGAAATCCTTTTTTTTTTTTTTTTTTTTTTAAAGATTTTATTTTTTCCTTTTTCTCCCCAAAGCCCCCCGGTACATAGTTGTATATTCTTCGTTGTGGGTTCTTCTAGTTGTGGCATGTGGGACGCTGCCTCAGCGTGGTCTGATGAGCAGTGCCATGTCCGCGCCCAGGATTCGAACTAACGAAACACTGGGCTGCCTGCAGTGGAGCGCACGAACTTAACCACTCGGCCACGGGGCCAGCCCAACCTGGAAATCCTTTTAATCACTCATGAAGTACAGCTCCATGGCTAGGTGTGGACAACCTTATGCATAAGGCAAATATATGAATGTATAATGTGTACAGTAATGGACATAATATTATAAACAGGGCTATGATAAACCAAAATTGCATCTTTAAACCTCAAAATCAACATTAGTGCTTAAACAACCTTAAATAGTGAGAAACCCTGGGGCACAGAGGCCTCATGAGGGAAACAAAAGTTCATATCTCTCTTTTTACACTCAAACCAAGGCAGACACGTCCCGAGTCAAATGAAACAGTTTTCCATTTACAATACTGTATTGTTTTGTTTTGTTCCTTTCTCTTGCAGAAAATCCATAGTTGAACTTCTTCACACTCAGATGATACTAAGGTCAGAGAGACTCTACCCTAGTGGCTCCTCAGAAGGAGAACACGCCGGTTAACAGAGCGAGCAAGACACAAAGCAAAACCCCTAAACTAAGCCTAGAAGTAAGCCCAATCAGGTCGTCCTTTGTGACATTTCCTAGTGTGAACCAGGGCAAAATGCCAAAGCCCTGTGGATTTTTTCCCCACAGAGATGTATGTGGTGGGAGGACACATGGGATCCTGATGAGGGGAAGCAAAGGCCATTTTGGGAGAAGGACTCCTGGGAAAACATCCTGACTTTCCCAAATCTCCTCCAACCTTCGCTTTTTAGGGGATTCTTTCCCTCTGGCTAAAGAACTCTGCACTCCATCATAGGGACTCATCACTGAAACCAGACAGAAAGAGTCAGAAAGGTGGGTGGAGAAGGAGATGGGTAACAAAGGTTCATAGAGAGAATGAGGCGATGGAAATGCCAGCCAAGGACTTTTTGATTAAACAGAAGCTGGAGGGTACTCAGCTATGCGGATGAGCACACTAACAAAATGAGAAAGGGATCCATGGATATAAGATAAGCTTTGAATTTAGAATAGAGGATCTGACCCCAGTCCTATGTGGATGGTCTAGAAAAAGTCTCTTCCTCTCTTTAGGCTTCTGTTCACTTCTACAGGGGAAAAGATACTTAGGCATATTATGACTAGTATTTCAGTGTTTCCTAATTTTATGTTAATAACATGGAATTTTTAACGTATTTATCTTTTAAATTACCTAGTATAAAAGGTTTTCTACTTATAATTAATATAAAGTTCCTCTATTAAACCTATGTTTTTAAAAGTAAGGCAAGATTGTATAATTTTCATAAAGTCATAAACATGACTCAGAAATCAAAGAATTTATTCAATAATTAATCGGTGATGGAACTGCTAGAATTGTAAAGCTGGTTCAAAGAGCATTGGAAAATTGGTTATTTATTATCCACCAGGAAAGACAGTTGTAAATAAGTTTTCTGAGTTAGAGAAAAAAAGTAGTTAATATCCTAGGGGCAATAAAACTGTAACCTTTGGGTTTACCTTTTCTACTGAAAAAATCGCGTATAACTTCACAGAAAACGAGCCCTAATTAATGATAAAAACCAAAGACAAACACTGATACATTCCCCTAGATGATTACATGATCTTTGTATGAGCCTATTAATGCCCCAGGATGACACCAAAAGACATGACACCCAACTTTTGCCTATTTCCAGGTTTTAAATAGTGTTTCTTAACAATATAAGGAAAAGATTTCACGGATAATAATTGAGGGGATATTAACAGATGGTGAGAAACCACGAGAAAAAAAGTAAATAGATAGAGAGTGGGTAGCACTGCTCAAACTAGGACCTACAGCAGCTGTCTTGTGGGGTCGGTGAAGTGGAGTCATGGCCTGTGGGGTTACTTTGCACCGCTTATAAAATCTGAGAGCCTTCACAGAACCTGCATCTGAAGAGAGGAGCCAAGAGTCTCTTAAGGAAGTAAAGTGACCTCTGCCCTAGCAAAAAAATAAATGGAAATTATGGCTTAGGAGGTCCACACCGTAAAGTGTAGATGCAATAAAAGTTGCCAAGAAAAAAGTCTACTTTCTGTGTAATTAAATGCTTTCCTAAACAATGATATTGAAAAGCTTATAAAAGTATTTTGCAACTTTGATCAATACAACTTCCAAAACAAACTCATTACCACATGTCCACCTAGGTAACTTTTAAATCAGTCAATTCTGACAAAGCTTACCGATAGTGATGACTAATCATTCTTTCTGGAATTACTTAGGCAGCTAGTGCACTTGTTTAAAAAGATTACTTCTATTTTGTGTGAGAATAATTCATATTACATGCATCTCTTCCTTTTCTCTCTATTTCAAAGGAAATATGCCCATGGTTCATCCAAAAGTAATATGCTGTCATAAAGGTACAAGCTAAATGGAAGAGGAGATAAACATATGGATAATATATTAACATGTAGAGTACTTAAAAATCCACACAAGGACCCCAAAGAGTATATTTGCATGATCTTATTGTCAGGGTGCGCCATTTTAATGAATCTGTAAATGGCTCAACTATCTCTTCCGATGTACTATGAGCAGGTCAATGCCCTCCTCCAAGGTACATTGCAGTTTAGATGCTTATATCAGTCAGTGTACAGTCAGAAGACAGAAACCACATCAGTCATTTGATCAGGGAAAATTGGTGCAAAGAATTATTAACTAGCAAAATGTGTTTAACTACTAAAAGAGGTAAAAGAAAGTTCTAAAGAATACAGAAATAGGAGATATGGGGAGCAGACATTACCTCCAGGGCTACGGCAAAGTACCCAATAAGGAAGAAATTTGGGAGAGGACCCCCCAACAAGACTGAGATTCAGAGTTTATTGGAAGGTAGAGTTCACTGACATGCCACTGGTGGGCAAGATTGGTGGGCAGGAAACCTCCCACTGGGTACTGGCAAGATTCCCTGGGAAACAACCTTCTAGATAACAGCCTGCTGCAATGCCAGACAAATTCACCAAAAGTGAGAGAAACTGGGCCTTCTGCAGGCCACTGGCAGTCTCATCATAGAACCAAGAAGAAAAGTACCAGAAGTAGAAGAGAAGCCGTTTCTTCTGCTATGACTTGCAGTGTCCCCTCCAGTTCACTTTACTGACAAAGGCTAACATTGTGCCAGACAGCAAAGAAGAAATGTTTATGGAGTCCAACTTGAGTATCACAAAGCAAGGCAAATACAGGGTGATTTGGAACTGAGAGGCAATAAGTTGATAACTGGCACAGTCCACATCTTTGGCTATTCAGCTTCCATATATATCACTTTACACACATTTGAACTTCCATATAACAACACAACAACTCTATATTTTCACCCATCAAGACAAAGCTATTCTTACAAGTGAAGAAGTTCTCACCCTTTCCCCAAAATGAGGAGACAGACAGTTCCAGTCATTGTATCCAACACTGCTATATTATTTACTCCTGAAATTCACAGTCCCATTGACTACTCTGTTACCCAAAGACTATATTACAAACATAACCTCCAATAACTTGAATAAAATCATAAGAGTAAGAATAAGAGAGAGGAAGAAACGGATAGTAAATACAAATCAACACGCACATAACAAAAGGATTGTAAAGCTATTACAGTCCTTTCCTACAATTGGTTACAGGCCAGAATCATTATCTATGACTTCCTTCTTCCACTGCCCATTCCACGTCTTCTCGTCTCACCCAGAACCACAGGTGGTCAGAGTTCTCTACCTGATGGAGTGAATACTCCTCCATTCCTGATGGTCTGATTTCTCAATAGTCCTGCTTTCTTCTACTTGCTATGACTTCCCATTAACCTTTACCATTGGACTTGGAAGTACTAAGAGGCAGTATATTGATAACTAGAACCAAGCTCATGGTCAAAGCTTTCTGCAATTCACCTTGCATCTGAAAATTATCTTCTTCATTCACACCTTAATTCTGGTAGCAGTTCTCTTCTTTCCACCTGGTGTTGACACAAAAGAAGAATCTAGATTCTTCTCCTTAATTCCCTAAATTAAAACAGCACAAGTTTTTCACAAGTAACAGAAATTTACTGAGGTTTGGAAAAATTGGCATGTTTAATCCATCCCAGAATAGGAAATATGTAAAGCAAAATAATAGAATCCTCTTAAAAGTCCATCAGCCATCCATTTCCCTGGTAATTTTGGATGTTTTTCTGGACAGATAGTACGGATCCTCCAAGATAGAGGTGGGGACCCACCCTCAGCCTCTGGGTTCTTCTGCACAAACTCAAGTTGGATAAAGTAAACTCTGCTTTATTCTGCAGAGTAATTCAGCCCCTCATCCCCTTTCATATCTAAACAATAAAAAGATCTTATGAAATATTTTTTATTATTGGAAAAAAACAACTTCACATAGTAAAATTCAGCCTACCCCAAACCAGCTCAGTCCACTTTTATAATCTGCTACCTGAGCACAAGGCATGAACTAACTATTCTCATAATCACATCCCCAGCAATCTGCATCTATAGCAGGAGGACAAGGCTCCTAGCCATCCAGAACTCACCTCAGAGGCCTTTGCCACAGGGAGTCCGCAGCTCTCAGAAGAGCCATGGTGAGGGCTCTGGGACAGTGATGGGGCCCTATATGGACACAGCCTCAAGGTTTCAGGGGAGTAACGGAGATTCAACCCCTAGAGGAGCACTATCAACACCAGAGCCTGAGCTGAACCCCTCCCCTGGGAGGCTCACAGGCTCTTCCACAGAAGGAGAACTGTTAAGGGGCACAGGGAACCCCTCAGGCCCACCCACCATGGGGCAGATGGTCAGGGACACATCTCCTGACTTAAGCGTGAAGTATGGAAAGAGCATCCCAGAGAAAGAAGCCTGAGGGAAGGAGAAAATGTGGGAGCCATCAGTCATGTTATAGAAGGAGACATCCCCTTCATTGTAGTCCACGAAAACCCCCACCCTGTGGGGAACTTGCCTAAGAAATAGCAAAGTCTGAGGGATAGTACAGGCACAATAATTCTTTTCATAATGCCCCACAATCCAGAACCCCTTCTCTGGGCACTCTCTGTACCAGCCCTTTCTTTTCACATCTTTGCTACAGACCCCCAGAGCCCACTCGCTTCTGTCTCCACTCCTGACCACCACCTCCCAGTAACAGCGCCCTGATGTGATGCCCTCAAGGCCCAAGATACTGCAGCTGCCTTCTGAGTCCACACAGGTGTCCTTCCAGGTCAGACTCATCTTTTCATGAGAGACGGCAAGGCTGGGATGGGCAGAGCCTGGATCCAGAGTGACAGACCCTACAGAGAGAGTTACCAATCATGCAAGGCCCTCCCCTGCCCCACAACAAGGGCATACAACCATCCCCCAGACACTTAGCTGCCTGGAGGGAGGGCTAAGCCTCCTGAGATGAGAGCCTTGTGACTCAAGCCTATAGCCCTCCAAGCAGGAGAAGAAACCACAAGACTGATTTAGGGGGTAGATATGTCAAGGGCCCTTGAGGACCAACTTGGACTCCAAGGGCTGAAGTAGATCTATTTAGCATCTAGTATTAGCCACAACCCACCAGCCCCAACTATGTGACTATCACTGCCACATCCCACACCACCACCACTGATGGTGCCAGCATCTATGTCACCACAGGGATCTGAAGGAGAGCCAATGCGGGCAGCAGTAGGAACACTCAGCAAGAACATGAAGTCACTCACAAGCCTGGAACTTCTCCTTCCGCCAATCTAGAAGAGAACCACACATTTCATATTAGGGATTTGCATAGACTATACACAACAGGGTCAGCATCTAGTCTTCTGAAAATCACTGATACAAGAGCTACAGGGGAAAATATTTTGATACATTTATTTCTTTTTTACACACACAGCCATCATGCTGCAGCCTTCCCATGAAGGCTAAACCATGAAGCTTAATACTCAGGGATTGAGAGGATGGATATCAATCTGAACATAAAGATCATTGCCCAGATTTCACTACCAAATTATACTTTCTCAAGTCCCTAGTCACATATTCATCCTGAAAGCTAGGTTTTCTTGAGAAAGTACTGAAGAGATCAAAATTTCCGAGGCCTCCATTTAATTATCAAGAACTAATTGAGCTGAACTTGTAGGTTGCCTCTAAGCCATGGGTAGAGAGAATACAACTTAGCTGAGCTGAACTCAGAAGATGACTATAAACCATGAGTGAAGAGAACTCAGGATATAGGATCAGAGAAATCTTGCCCAACAGGAGGCAATGAAGAGGTTTCAAGGAAGGGAGATAGATGGTCAAAGCAGGAAAGACACACATTCAGTGAGAGGACAGACACTAATGAATTCTCTTACCCTTTTCACTGGGTGGGGAGAGCAAAAACATCCCTATATATAGGGGATAAGCCAAAAATATTAGAGCTAGTCATCTACTTCCCCCTCTAATTGCCCAGAGAGGTCGAAAGCTTCCAGGAGAAACTCTATGTGGTAGGCTCCCAAAGATGTCCATGTTCTCAACCCCAGAACGTGTGAATATGTTGCAGCAAAGGGAACTTTACAGACGTGGTTAAGATTAAGGATCTTAAAATGGGGTGAGGGGTATGGGGAGAACAACAATGCCGCAAACAGCTAGATAGGATCTGCCCCTCCTCAGCAGACCCCAATCCTAGGATCTTAAGATCTAAATCATGCTAGTCTCCCCAGGGTGAGGACCTCATATGACTAAGGGGAAAGCACAGTGAACTCTCTCCCTCACTGATGTGAAACCACACAATCTCTTCCAAACTCCATAGTCCATTTTGGGAAGAAGAAAAGAAGACCACTGACCAAAGTAAAGCCTATATAAGTCATAAGACCCTGAAATGTCTCCAGTGGGAGAGTTGTTGCCTCCAACAGAGTGGAGACTCAGGAACAAGATTCAAACATTTATAGAAATAAGTAAACAACATTTTCTTGCACATTTGGTATGTAAATTTGTGACCACCATTCCCACTTATACAGGTTCATTCAGAGAAATTGGCATTTCCATCTCTATTGATTTGCTTGATGGAAATAAGATCACATAAAATGACTGGGCTGACCCATGTGGCCCTTTAAGAAAAATGAACTTTAGTTTACTTGTTCTTCACCAAGACATCAGTTGACACCCAGCTATAAATTTCTATCTCATAATTGATAGAGATTACCAAAGAAGAAGAAGGAGAAGGACAAAAGAGAATTGGCCTTTAATTTTGAGATTCTACAATGTGTTGAGTATTATGCTATTCTTTACTTAATTTCCACAGCAAATCTTTAAATTACAAATTATTTCTCCAATTTTACGAATAAAAAGAGATCAGATATTTATCAACCTCACACCATGAACCTGTCAATATGAAAATGTTGATCCTACCGTATGGCATTTGTCCATACAAAATAAAAGGATATACAAGTATACATTAAAACACATGCACTTTAACTCAGCAGATAACGGGGAGAAGGTAAAAGAAGACTATCTGATCCTGATTTTTAACAAATAAATCCCAGGGAGAATCAGTAAGGTTCCCTAAGGTAGATTCCTCACTCATCTGGTCCCCAGGCCTCCTTCACCTGCTGGCTTGTCCCTCTCTGTTCTCACAGTTTACATCTCTGAGGGTAAACAGAAACATCCAGAGCAAGGAAAGGGCGTGTTACACAGGCTCAGAGGGCACAGATCCTTAACCAACCCCAGTGCTAAAGGGTCCTCTGGATAATGCTTCCTTGCTCTAGGATCCCCCATACCACACTCCTGCCTTGCCTGTTACTGGAAGATTGAGATGGTCTCTTTATCAGAGGCAAATTCAACTAGATGATTATTTCAAAATGGCTTAAAAATAAATATAAGTCTTTACCAAAATTTCTCACAGAGGTACCAAGGAGTTGATTACATTTCATGCACCAAAATAACTTGCAAACCCTCTGTGTACTCCCCAACTCAAACCACCAGGGCTATGACTTGTGGTCTCTCTTCCACTGCTCCAAGCCTCTCAAAATCTCTACAAGGCGAATCTCGGGCATCCTACTTCTTTTTCATGTCCTCCTCTCTTCCTCCTCCTGGTCTTTTCTTCCCTAATTTGCTCCCCACTCTTTCTCTGGTAAACCATTTTAACTCCTCTATGTTTCTCCTTTCTCAATCTTCAAACATTGCCCCTAATAAACACAACCAGGGCTGAGCCCATCAGACAAATGCAGAATTCTCCCAAAAGGAGATAATGATTGTGAACAATTACAAGTTGCATTTTGTTCCTGTTATACAAACATATACACAGAATTTTGCATATAATTTCAGATCTTTCCCAGACCCTCACACCAGAAGTCCATAAACATCCTGGAGGTTCTGGACCCCACATTCAGAACACCTCCTCTACAGCAACTAATTCCTCAGCAGCCAAGGAATCTTGGAAGAAGAAACTCAGCTTAAACAGGGAGTCAGAGCATGAGGAAGCAAAGAGAAGACCAATATCCCAGAAGAAAACCAAAAGTAGATCCAAAAAGGGGAAGAATTTGGGGACAAGAAGGATCCAGAACCAAGGACCCCCTTAGGAAGACCTGAGTCCTAAGCAGGCAAGATTTCTGAAATCTTCTAGAGATCAGAAATTCCTGACCTACATAGTCGTTTCCCTGCTCCAGTCTCTCCTTATAACTGACCTCTCCTTTGCCACTGCACCAATGAGAAGCACCAGTTGAATGAGGTGTTTTGGGGGGTGTTCTAACCTTAGCAATGACCTGCAGCAGAGGATGGGTCAGAATGGAGACAGATCTGTGTTCTCAAGGAGGAGTCCCTGCAGTCTTAGAATGGAGGCTACAAAAGTGACAAGGAAAGCAGGAACATCAACCCATAGAGAAGGGGGCAGGGTGGAGGCTGGAGAGGTGAGGCCACAGGAAGCTCAGAATCACTCACCCGCATACAGCTGGGCCTTCCTCCAGGCTGAAAAAGAATACACCCTGGTGAGACCTTGGCCAGAACAACCCTGCTCAGCATGATCTACTGGCCCTTGCCTCTCCTCTGTTCTACAAGTGAGACTATCTACAGGTAGAGAGCTGGAGAGAACATGACCTCCTGCAATGTGCAGACAGCAGAGTGTTGTGGGATATTCTCTGGACCACAGGTCAGGAAGTCTGCATTACAGGTTGAGCTCCACACTGTCTTGCTGCTGCTGTGTGACTTTTGGCAAGTCACTTAGCTGTTCTGTGCCTCAAAAACCTCAAAAATTCATATTCTATCTGCATTCACTTTTGCAACTAAGGATCAAAAATTGTACTGTGTGTGAAAATATTTTAGAGAATATAAATTGTTCCATAAATGTAAGAAAGCACTGTCATATCCAGTCTTATTCTGGCAAAGATATATCTACAAAATAACTCAAAATGGGGAATGATGTAAACACAGAGATATAAGGTGAGCTCTGGGGTTAAAGTGGCCAACCTTTCTCAGATAAAATATTTCTAGAGATAAACATCACTATTCTGGGACATTGACAACTCATCCTGCCACATTCCCATGCTTGGTCAGCCCATCACTTCTGGATCAGCACCTTCAGAAAATGGAGAGAACAGACTCTCCCAGGATGGTGTTTCAGGAGTCACACTCCTAAACTTAATGGTCCCATTTATGTATAGAGCTCCTTTAATGAAATCTCAGGGCAGCTGGCTTTCGGCTTCCAGGTACTGACTGAGAGCTAAATGCATTGAAGGCTAGAAAACTAACAATATGGTGGGTGGGTCATGGTTGGAATAAGACCCAGGACACATGACAAACTCCAGAGGCCACCATCACACTCAGGTTCCCAAACACTGGGTGGGAAATGGCGTCCCAGATCTGGGAGAGCCCAAGGAGCAGGACTGTGCCTCCCACCAGCTTCCATTTCTGCCCCTAGGTAAGGGGGTCCACATGGCTGTGCCTAGACAGAAACAAGGAGAGGGGACTCACCAGCCAGGTAAACTGATTTCCTCCAACCTGAAAGACACCACAGAGGAAACAGGTGAGCTAAGAACCAGACTGTCTCTTACAAAGGGGATGCTGAGAGTTCAGGAGGAAAAGCAGGACTTACTGAGATCTGCCTGGAGTTCATCTGAAAGAGAGTGAAAAAATAAGCATGAACTCCCACCCATAAGAAAAGTAAAAACTGTGTGCCTGAAGAACCTACAAGAAAGAATCTCCCTGTACCCTAGAAGAAATTCCAACTCCAGACCCATCTGAGCCTCCGTGGCGCCCCCTGTCCTCTCTGGATCTCCTTAGCCACCTACTCTGGGCCAAGGGCTCTGGATCTCCCTGGAGAACGAGAGCCCTAGACTCCAGCCCTGTGGTCAGCTTGTCCCTCTCAGCACCAGCTGCCACCCTCGCCAGCCTTGGACCTGTCCTGCCTCACCTATGGCCTTCAGTGCCTCCTCCTTTGTCTGACAGTCTTCTTTCTTAGCCTGGCGCAGATCATCCTGTTTCTGCATCTCCTGAAACTTTGCAGAACGTTCTCTCTTGGTGCAGTAGCCAGCCCCAAGGAGTAGGAGCACCAGCACAGTCAGGCTCACCATAAAAGCCAGCTTCCACGGAGAGGCCTGGGGGAAGAAGGGCTCTGCAGCCCAGCCAGAGACCCCATTAGGGGTAGAGCCCTGGGCAGCCCAGCCCAGCACACTCAGGGATGCTGGCCCCTTCCTCTGGACCTGCTGGGAGCAGGGAGCAGCACTGACCTGGGATGAAAATGGCCATCGCCTTCTCCTGGCCCAGGATAGGGTTAAGGATGGAGCAGGTCACATTCCCCGCAGAGCTGTCTCTCACCACCAGAGAGGCTTCCACACTGAACAGCCCTTCCTCATCTTGGGCATGGGCCTCAGAGAATGCCAGGAACTTCTCTCCACTGAGGTCCCTCCATTGCACCTGGGGCTTTGGGAACCACCCTGAGGCCATGCACACCACGCGGATGCCATCCTCCTCCAGCCCTTTGATGTACACCTGAGGGGCAGAGCCCACACCTGCAGAAGGTAAGCGGGAGAAACATGGGAGGCCGCCTAGGGCCCAGGGATCCCAGTAGTGCCTACATGTGCACAACTCCAGGGGGACCCATTCACATTGCATTCTGGGGGCTCTGTGGGAAGGCCACCCCCTCCAGGGAGCAAGGTAGCAGCCCTGCCACGTGGAATAGAAGGAAGGAGCATAGGACCCATTGGAGGCACAGAGGGCAGGGGCTCGTCTCCCCCACCATGCAGGTGGAAAGGCTGATGCTCAGAGGAAACAGAAGGAATTTAGTCCCAGGTTTTATCCTTATCCTTCACTCTTCTCGCCTCACATACTCTCTCAGCACATCTCCTCCACACCCACTGCCTGTCTTTGTAAATCACTTCCAAAATTATGTCAATTGACAACCCTGTCTCCTGAACTCCCCTCCCTTATATCCATGTCCCTGTGGGTTATCCTTACCAGGATTCCTCACATACACTTCAAACTCAATATTCCCAAGCTAAATTCATGATTTGGTCCAAGCTGTGATAGACTAATTATGTCATATTCCCAATTCGTCATGCTTCTTTATATCCAGCTCACCCTCTGCCACATATTTTTAGTGCCTTCACACTCTGCCTCTGGGCTCAATCATGTGACTTGACGTGGCTCAAGCAGAGTTTGTAAAGTGCCTGTGCCTTTGGGCCTGCCCTCTGCCATGGGAAGGATGTGCTTGGGCAGCCTTTCCAGCTGAAGCTTTCCTAGATCAGCCAACAGCCAGACGGATAAAACCCACGAGAACAAACCCAGCCAAGGTCTGCATGGTGCCCTCTTCAGCTGACTATAAGGACAAATAAAAACTAAAAGTAAGAGGCTTAAATCTCCCTGTTGAAAATAAGGGAATAGATTCCCCTCCCCTCTTTCTTCTTAGAGCATTTACTTTAGAAAACTTGTAATTGTAGGTACTTTCTCCCCTCTTTGAAATGCATATAAATCCTTTTTGAAAACTAGCCAGGCCTTTTGCCAACTTTATGACCCAGGAATGTCTTTCTCAAGGACCTCAAAGCCATCTCTTGGAAATGTAAACAACAAAAGAGGTAGCACTCCACTTTCCCCTTCCTGTGGGAGGGTAGGAGCCTAACTTCACTGGGCGCCACGCTCCAAATTGTAAAACCACCTCCTGTCATGAAGATATGAGAATTTGCCTTTTTTCTGGATAAAGCCAATTAGCTAACATAGATGTTAACCTCAATTACCAGGTAAATTTAGAGTAAACTCTGTGCGACAAATGGTGCTGTCAAGTCCTCTTACTTGAGGATTAGTTATTATTTATCTTGAAAACATGTATGTAATGGATTGTATCTGCTTGGCTTCATAAATGGGGGAGATTTCCTTCTGTCTTTGCAATCTATTAGTAGATTGTCAGTGAAGTGCATCACATTCTGGTTTAATGCCCATTCAATAAAAAAACTGTTTTCTTTCTCTACTACCTTTGTGAAAGGATTTCTGGGTTGGGAGGTTTTGTTTTTGATATTTCCCCAACATAACCAAAGATGTCTAAGTAAGCCCAGTTAAGATTAGCCAAATACAGCCCAGATTAGCTGAACTTTCTTAATGCCTGATTTAAATAAATGGTTACGGCTGTGTGCCATTGAGATTTTTGTGGTTGTTTGTTACACTGCTTTATTATGGCAACAGGCAACTAACGCATAACTATCACTATTCCTACCACTAAACAACAAACCCTGAGAGACTCTATAATCCCCTCTCCCCCTTCCAAACTCTCTGTGTCCCCAAATCTACTCACTTAGTTGGGTCTACTTTCTAAACCTCTCTGATGTCTGATTCCTCCTGTCCCACCCTACTGCTGCTTTCTGAAGTCAGGCAGTCATCCTTTCCACCTCATAACTGCATCCACGCCTCACCTTGCTCATCTTCCATCCATCCTCCTCACAGCTGTCAATCAAACATTCCCAGTACTGCTCTGTTTAAAACTTCTCAGCACTGCTTCCAAGTTCCATAACACAGCACACAAAGTCTTATTTGCTCTGGCATCTGCCTTCTCTCTCAAACTCCTTCTCTCCTCTTCCCGCCCAACTTCTACCACCTGTGCCCCGCAGGGCCCATGCACTCCAGCCCCAAGGACCATTTGATTAACTGCTAATAACCACAATCAACATGCTCTATGTGTGCCCTGCCTTCTCACGTTCCAGTCCATCAACCTCAAGGGCTCTTTGGAACCTTGTCTGGTGAACTCAAGTGCCTGCTCAAGTGTGAACTCCCTAGGAGCTTCTCTCGATCAATATAGGCAGCATTAATCAACCCTTCTCTGTGCACCGTATACCAGAAACATCTCTTTATTCCAGTATTGTCACTTCTTACCACCTTCCCATTCACTTCTCTTACAAACCATGATGGCTTCCTTGTGTGCCCAGAACACACCTACCTCTGGGGTTTCACGCTGGGTGTTCCTTATGCTTGGAACTCTCATCCCCCAGATATCCACTTGGCAAAAACCCTACTTTCTTGAGCTTTTGCTCAGCTTGTCAATAAGGCCCACTGTGAGCCCCTATGTAACACTGAAGCCTGTCCTCCCTCCCTACTCCCACCTTCTGGTTCCCTTCCTCTGCTCTACTTGGCCATTTATTCTAAGTACTTAGCACCTCCTAACATTCTCTATAACCCATTTATCTATTTATTTATGTATTGCCTCTAGAATATAAACTCCACAGGGCAGGGATCTTTGCTTGGTTCACTGATGTACCCAGGAGCCCAGAACAGGACCTGGCACATAGTGGGGATTCCGTATATTTGTATTGAATAAATGAATGAGTCAATGAGCCTCCTTTTACACATATCTAAAATGATGGGCTGATCTACATGGTCTGAGTTTCCTCCCAACTCCAATACCTTAGGACTCAAGAACATAGATCAAGTCACCAACCTGCCACCTTCAGTTCCAAACTGGCCTCTTCATAGAAGCCTCCCTTTCTGAAGAAGCAGGTATATAGCCCATTGTCAGAAGCCTGGACCTTGTGGATTTGCACTGCAGCCTCCCCCTGGGTGAGGAGGTCCCTCACCAGCGAGGTCCGCCCTGCATACTGGGCCATCTGCTCCTCGTTCTGCTCCCGCTGGTTTTGATAGACGAACACAACTTCTGAGAACTTGGAGCGGAACCACCTCAGCTCCATGTTCTCCACACTCATGGTTGGGGACACACGACAGGGCAGTGTGATGTCCCCGCCTAGCGTTGCCACAATGGGGTCTGAGGGGCCAATCACGAAGAACTCCTCTGTGGACACAGACGTAGAGGTGAGAAAGTTGGAGAGATGCAGACTGGGGACAGGGAACACACACGATCAGGTGGGAAGGCCCAGGCAGGCTGGAGGCAAGTGTCGGATCAGCTGACCTGATGGATTGAGCTATAACAACTCTGAACCCGGGCGAGATCTTCAGACCACAACTTTGTGACCCAGAAATGATGCCAGGAACCGGCCCTGTTGCTGAGTGGTTAAGTTCACACACTCAGCGTCAGCAGCCCAGGGTTCACTGGTTCAGGTCCTGGGCACAGACCTACACACGGCTCATCAAGCCATGCTGTGGAAGCATCCCACAAGGAAGAACTAGAATGACCTACCACTAGGATATACAACTATGTACTGGGGCTTTGGGAAGGAAGAAGAAAGAGGAGGATTGGCAACAGCTGTTAGCTCAGGGCCAATTTTCCTCACAAAAAAAAAATAAATGATGACCAAGAGACTGCCTTATCTGCCTGTGCTCCTGTCTTCACAGCCTTCCATGAAGGACTCTAACTCAGTGGCTTGCAACCTGCAGCATGCATCAGAATCACCAAGAGGGCTTGTAAAACACAGATTGCTGGGTCCCACCCCCAGAGCTTCTGATTCAGTAGGTCTGGGGTGGGCCCAAGAATGTGCATTTCCAAGGAGTTCCTGGGGATGCTGATACTGATGTTCCAGGGACCACACTTTGAGAACCACAGCTCTAACCCAGCCCCTCCAGGGACAGGACTGAAAACTGACCAAAGAGCACAGCTGTGGCTCACATCAGAACTCTTTGATCATTCAGCCACACCCAGGAACTTCCCCACTCCCACTCTTAACTTTATTACTGGTGCCCATGTCTTTCTCCTCTGCTGAATTACATCTGTAACTAGAGCCAAATGCTATTTCCATTAAAAACCTGCCCTCACTCCCACCACTCACAGGAGCCCAAATCACTGCTTGTTAAAACAGAAGCTTTACCCTACTACCACCCCGTCAGAGCCCTTGGCCTTCTGAGGCCTGGTGGACGGGCCACAACATGACTATTCTGCAGGACAAGCCTGCTGGACCTCCAAACAGCGACTTCTCACCTCCTGTGCTCTTCGACCTTGGCCTGAGTCACCATCGTTTCTCACTTGAGGGATGACAGTGACTAGTCTCCCCATGTCTATCCTCTCCCCACCCCTACACCTGGGACCCTTTTCACCTATAAGTGAAACCATGTCCCTACTCTACTCAAAGCCCTGCTTGGCTCCCCAGCGCCCCCAATGGCCTACAGGCCCGACAGGGATGACCGCCAGTACCTCTCTGCCCCCAACTCCTGATTCTCTTCCTCTCACTCATTCTGCCCCAGCCAACACTTGCCTTCTCTGTTCCTTGAACACCCCAGGCACATGGCCAGCTTTCCACTGGCTGTTCCCTCCTACAGAAACCCTCTTTCCCTGGAGATCTCACAGGCTCACTCCCTACCCACTCCAAGTCTTTGTTCCCACCTCACTGACTACACTGACCACCTGATTGAACACTGCTGCCTGCCCACACTCCATCTCCTGCACCCCTGACTGCCCCACCCGACTCTACTGCATTGTCCCATCCTCTCAGCTCCTCTAACTGACTGTAGGTTTTGTTGATTTGTTGATTTATTATTTACTGTCTCCTGCTAGAATGTAAGCTCTGTGAGACAGGGAATCTGTCTGTTTTGTTCATAGAATAACACCTAACACATGGTCGACACCTTATAAATATCTGTGGAATGAAATGAACTAATGAATGAACAAGTGCTTCAGATACCAAGGAAGCCCAGGGGAAAAAATGAGGGAAAAGATATTTTCACATTTTTGATAGTTGACTTTTTAAAATATCATAAACTCCTCATGGGATAATTATCAAGGCCCCCTACCCTCATGTTACGATTTAGTGCCTCTTCTTAAATGTTTAACTACAAGTAGTTGTTAGGGAAGAATCACAATCCTTCTATATCCAGAGCCCCCACAAATAGCCATCCATTCCTGATGGAGAGAAACCAGCAGAGCTCCTGGGGGCTCCCACCAGCCAAGGGAGACACACAAAGAGTAACAGAGACACACTTACCTGCGGACCCCCCGGTGAGCAGCTGGATGAGAAGCAGGGAGGTGAGATGGCAGAGCACAGAGTGGCTGAAGCAATCCTCCATTTCCTTAGAGCTGGGGAGAGAGGTCAGGAGGCAGGGCCAGCCCAGAGTACTGGGGCCTCAGAAAAGAGAGTAGGACTCAGGGCTGGCAATAGACTCCAGCAGGAACAGAGCCTTTCCTACTGGCTCATTATGCTAATGGAGTGGTGGGCCCCACACAACTCTGATGCCAAGAAAGGACTGAGCCAGGCTCCTTCCAGCCCTTTTGAATGCCTCTGTGGTGCTAGAGGCCATTAGGCTTGCTTGGGAAACAACCACTCCTTCCTTTCCCACCCCATCAGCACCTGCAGCACAGCCCCACTCTGCCCAGAAAACCAGACTCTTCCTTTCTCAGCACCTGGGGCCCCATGGTGGAAACCGTCCCTCCATCTCTCCACTGTTCACACACTGCTGGTAACGCCCCAGGACAGGGGGCCCAGATTCAGGCCCCTCACCATGAAGGACATGCCAGCTCCTGCCTGCGGTTCTGTTGCCCCATAACTATGAGCAGGGAATCACTGAGAAGCATCAGAGACAGACTACATCCTCCTCAAGGAGACCGTGGCTCCCGTCACAAGCACCCTGTCCTGCTGTTGTTTAGTTCACCTGAATCTCAATCTCACCCCAGCCCTTTCCTTCTAGAGTCCAAGGACATGGCCCTGCATACAGCAAGTGCTCAATTTCCCACTGATGAGTTAATCCTCTTCCTCTCTGTATTTGTGGAAGGTTTCAGTCTCAGAGTAGAGGATCCCAGAGCAGCAGAGACTATAAAATGAGTCCTAGTCAGAGAAAAGACCTCCAAACTGCTTACTTTGGAGAAGTGAGACAGCCTATGGTTCTGGGAAGGACAGATTCTGGGGCTGACTGCTGAGTTCTCCTCCGGACGTGGCCACTCTCTGTGCTACTGCCTTAGGCAAGTTTCTTGACCTTCCCAGCCTCAGTTTCCTCATCTGCAAAGTGAGAATAGTAACAGCATCTCGCTCCCAAGGTTGTATGAGAATCACATGAATTTATATTTTTAGAGTCACTACATGTTCTGGAACAGGACCTGGTCCTAGTAAGTGCTACAAAAATATTATTAAAGTAAATAAATAAAGGTGCAACCCTCACTGTGCTTGTCCTGGGTCTTCCCAGAGCCGCACTACTATCCAACATCCTCCCACCCACCCCAGTCCCACCACATTCTCAGCCTCCTCCTCACAGCCAGCTTCTCCCTGCTTTCCTCTTCCTTGCACACAGGTGTCTTCAAAACCAACTTACCTGCTTTGAAAGGCTGAGACTTCTGGAGCATCTTTAAATCAGCAGCTTGACATGGTTCAGGGACCCCAGCAGACCCCAACTCTGCCCCCAAAGTTTGCACCTGCAATTAGCTGCTCAGAGCCCCAAACCCTGCTTCCAGATCCAATGCTGGGTGCCACAGGTTCCTCATGTCTGAGAAGCAGGTGGTTCCCAGGAGAGCAGGGAAAAGCAGAGCCTGGCAAAGGTTGCAGGGATGTCTATAGAGACCAGGCCCTGGGGCCCCCGCTAAGCGCCCCCAGACAGAAGAGTCCACCCTTCTCTGTCTCCTTCCACCACTTGAAAGTGAAACCTTGCAAAAAGCAATCCAAGCAGACTCTGCTCTGCCCTGTGGACAGCGCACCCCAGTTATCAAGAAGGAAACAGCATGATCAGAGCAGCAAAAAGAGGGTAGGTACAGATACACTGAAACAACCCTGCGGGTGGCCAGAGAGAGACGCAGACTCAGTAACCATTTGTTGAACAACTGCTACACTCCAGGTGGGCTAGCTTCCAAACCACGGATGTAGGGACTATGGGTGTTACAGCCAAGACTAATACCTAGTCCTAAGTATAGGTCTGGCTGTACTGGCTGTTCAGTACTGAAATGATTCCATGTCAGTTGATAAATCACACAGGACCACGGCCCCTAGTGTAGCTGCTTTTCTTTTCTTCATCAACAGATGACCCACGAGCTCCCCACAAACTGGCAACTGAGGGGTTAACACTAGACATCAAGAGCTTTCAGTTCAGCACCAGGACCCAGGCCCTGCCCACACTGAATGGACAGTGCCCTGCAGGTTGCTAATGTTCTAATATCCCCCATGGCCTGGGTACAGCCATTCAGACCCCCTCTCTGCCAGGCTGCCATGTACACCAGGAAAGGCCTGATTCTACAGTCTCCAAAGGAAAACCACAGAGACTGGGTCTTCCTCTCCAGCCCCTCACTTCCTGTGACTTCTTCATCTCAGTAAAGGGCACCTCTGTTCACCCAGTCATATCTGGCAACAACTCGAGGGTCATTCTCCTCTCCCACTCAGTCTACTTCCAATCTACCAAAAGGTTCAAGATTTTTCTCAAATCCATATCCACAGCCAGCACCTAGTTCCAAGCCACCCTCATGTCTCACCTGGCCCAAGCATGGCCTCCTCATGGATGTCCTGCATCACCTCCAACCTCATCTCCTCCTGTTCATTTTCCTTCCAAGGTCAGGATCCTCTCAAGTCTGCTAATGTCAACTCTCTGCCTCACCCTTTCAAGGGATTCCTCGGCTTAAACTTCTTCTCAGTGGCTCCCAGGCCTCCAGCTTCCTCTCTGACCTCATCCCGTTCCTGTCCCAGCACTGGCCTCAGGTGAGTTCCTCCAGTTCACTGAGCTTTCCCAGCCTCGGGCCTCCTCACAAGCCACTGATGCTCCTGCTCTCTCTCTCCTCGGCCAAACTCCTCGCCATTCAGGTCTCACCTAAAGTAACCTTCCTCGGGGGGCCTCACTGACCTCCTGATCCCCATTGTGTGCCCCATACACATGCTGGTTGGGGTTTTGGTGGCACTGTGTTGTCGACCACAGTCCTGGTGTGTGTTCATCTGTGGAATGTCTGTGGACTCAAGAGGAGGCACTGTGTGTCCTGTTCACTTCTGCACACCAGCCCTGATGCAACGCCCGGCACATAGTAAACACTGAACAAACCCTAGTTGAGCTCATTTGCAAAGGAGTTGCTTCAGCAGCACACTGACTACTCAGCTTTGTCCAAACTCAGAAAAGATTTTAGTCCACTGAGAAACGTGAAGAGAATAACTTGGACCTAAACAAGTCAGCCCCTGGACGGATGCAACAGCTCCACCATCTCCCCCTCTCTGTTTTTCTGTCCACCCCAAACATAAATGTGTCGCGAATTACATCACCAGGCTGGAAACTTCAGGCTCAGCCACCTCTGACTGCTCCCTCAAGCCTGCCCACAGCTCTGGTCTTCACGCGTTAAGTGATTTGGGCTGGTGTCTCCCTCGCTGCACTTCTGCCAGGTGGTTGTTATTATTATCCTCATTCTACAGATGAGGCAACTAAATCTCTCAGTTTCACAACCACACACCCAACAAAAACTCTCTCAGCCTGGGGCTGGCCCCACAGCACAGTGGTTAAGCCTGGCTCGCTCCACTTGGGTGCCCAGGTTCTTGGGTTTGGATCCCTGGCACAGACCTACACACCACTCTCATCAAGCCATGCTATGGCAGTGTCCCACATACAAAATAGAGGAAGGTTGGCATGGATGTTAGCTCAAGGCTAATCTTTCTCACCAAAAAAAAAAAAGAGAGAGAGAGAGAGAGGAAGATTGGCAACAGATAGCTCAGAGCAAATCTTTCTCATCAAAAAAAAAAAAAAAAACCTCAGCCTGTGTTTACTCTCAGTTGTTCTAAATGACCCGTTGTATTTCTCTTGGAGCAAGGACTGACTGACCCACTGAGGCACCAGAACGCTTGGTTTCTGCCTGGAACTCTGGTCTGAGATATTAAAACCCTGGGCAAACTCAGGACTTCTAGATATACCTGAACACATCCCAATTTGTCATCTCCAAAATGTCCATTTCTGCTAATATCCACTTAGACTCAGGAATATGTGGAAAAATCCATCCTAATCAAAAAATAACTAATGAAACAAGGACCAATATTAGCCTTCAGGTCCACCTCCTGCCCTCTACCCCCCTCTGTCACCACCCATCCCTGCCCAATGAGCAGATTTCTCAAGACAGAATAGAGAGACATTAGGAGAATTTTATGAAAAGGCAGAAAGAAAAGAAACAAATTTTATTGACTACTACTAAGTACCAGGAAGTGTACTACACACACTGTATTTATTGCACGTCATTCTCACAAATGCAGAGAGGAAGTAGGACACGAGCCCTGGCGTCTAGTAACATTTAATCCAGGAACCTCGTAGAGGAAGGAGGGGCTAGAGCTACAAAGAGACTGCCCTCACCCACCCACCCAGCCCAGCCCAGCCCAGCCCAGCACCCAGCTCCACACACTCAGGGCGAAAGAGGAGCAAGAAGGGGACCTTGGACTCAGTCAGAAATGACCCAGGATGATACGGCCAGAAAGCTTATCTCACTCCGAATGCCAGCCCTTTGATTCCATACTGGGGGAGGGGAGGGAGTGACAAAGCTCGGGGAAGACTTTCCTAAGAGCATTGGAAGGACACTGAACACACTGGCAAGAAGGACAGCAAACAGCAAACTCCACTGCTGTCCCCCAGCTCTTCAGAGTCATGTTCCAGCTTCTCTAACGATAAACACCATTCACTAGCCACAAAGGATTTTTCTTGCTCAAAATAGAAATTATCCTAACACTAACGGGGTTAATGTTTTACTTTCCTCTTAATAGACATACGATAGCTCTTATCTCTTAGTTGCTTCAAGTGCTTTCAAGGCAGATAAACACCTGAGCCATAAAACAAAGGTGAATGTAACAGGAATTTGGATTTTAAAATGTGACAGTTGACGGAAAGGATTAAACCCCTTTTCTTAAAGGTGCAATCCAGTAAAACTTAATCTGTCTTGACACTGTTAAGATGAGGGTTCACTGGGTTATCTTTTACTGCAGGAAAAGTTTAAGAACAGTTTTCTGCTTGTTTATTTTCTGGAAAAAAAGAAAAAGAAAAAGAAACACACGCAAGGTGACGGTTTTTGTCTTGACTTAAAATTCTTCCTTCCTTTATCTAAGGAGCATGACCCTAGCTGGGGATGGAGCTCTGTCTGGCAGCCTGCTGAGCAGAGCCCCAAGGACACAGTCAGTCGGGCCATCATCCTCTTCTGAGCCTGCGATCTGCCCCTGTGGTGAGGAGAGCCCTTCCCAGTCAAGGCTGTCATCCCCACAACTGAAATATCCAACCAAAGGAGGCTCTGGGGATTCCTTAAGCCCCTCACTCGCTCCCAGGAGTGGTCAGTGCCTGTCCAGCTCCACCCAGAGGTCAGCTGCAGAGGCTGCCTGGCCGGCAGCACCCACCCCACCACCCTCTGAGTGGGCCATCCACTCTGCTTCCAAAGTCTGCAATTCCAGGGGAGGTGAGGAGGTGCCACTCCCACCCAAGCCCTGAGATATACAAAGAGAAAGGAGGGGGACACACATTCTCAAAGAAAAATTAACAAATTGTATTCACTAATAAATAAGCAAAAGATAAATAAGAGATTAAAAGGAAAGGAAGCAGACAGAGAGAATGATAGAGAAAGAAAGGAAAGAACAAGAAAGAAGGCAGGCTGGCCCCACGGCCAAGTGGCTAAGGTCACATGCTGTGCTTCACTGGCCCAGGGTTCTCTGATTCAGATGCTGGGTGTGGACCTACACACTGCTCATCAAGCCATGTTGTGGCAGCATCCCACATATAAGAACTAGAATGACTTACAACTAGGATATACAACTACGTTCTGGGGCTTTGGGGAAGAAATAAAAAGAGGAAGATTAGCAACAGGGCCAATCTTCCTTACCAAAAAGCATACCCAAAAAAAAAGAAGGGAAGGAAGGAATGGAGGGAGGGGATAAAAGGAAGGAGTAGTGGCATTCAGCCCTGACATTTCTGGGGATGGGACACCAGATGGACACGTCTGCCTAGAGCATCTCAAGTTCCCTAGTCACTGCAATGAGAGTGAATGAGTGCAGAGAGCGAGCACATGCACTGCCCATATGGGTGACCCAGCGAGTGACCTGGAAAGAAGTGACTTACTCTCCCAATCCCACGTAGGTCAGGTCCATCCATGGTCAAGGGTGAAACAGGAAAGTTCTGGCAGGAGAGACTTGAGTGCCAAGTTATGGGAAAGAGCCTGGAGGCCTGGCACTTTGGCCTCTGTCCCTGAGAGAATCAGAGGAGAGAAGCCTGGGCAGTAGAGGCAGGAGAGGCCCTGACTAACCCTGAAAGGCTGATTCTAACTGTCCCCAGGATGCCGGACACCCTGTTCCTTCATGTCAAGCCTTGTCTCCACAGGCTGAGCTACAGGCTGAAGCCCCGAGGCCAGGCCCCTGCTCTCTAATGACGGGCACCAATTCTCAGGCCCACTCTTCACCGCCTGCCATTTTACTCTGAACATTATGTACTTTATTTCAATGAATGTTGTGCTATAATCCTCTGAGCAAAGTATTACTTTCCTCATTTAACAGCTGAGAGACAGAGGCACAACGATATCAGGGAAGATGCCCAGGGTCACGTGGTTCTTTGGCAAACCGCGAGAGGAGCCAGGTCCACCCAAAACTCAGCTGAGCTCTAAACTGGGGGCACTAGCCCCATGGGGGCTCCAGGGACCTGGGGGCAGGAGGGGAGGCAGAAAATATATTAGAACTGTAACAAAAGCTTTAACCTTATCTTTCTTAATGTGTTATTCATGTTTGCTTTTATAATCTGCATAATGTTTGTACCTAATTGGTACCTGCACATTCCAAATACATTACTGAAAGGGGTGCATGATCCAAAAAGTTTGGAAACCCAAGCTCAAACCTCCACTTCAGAGATCCTCTCCAAAGAAGCAGGTCTCAGAGAGGGAAGCAGGACCTTCCCGCAGCAGCTGCCTGGGAGGCGCCCAGAAACAGGGGAAGACGGGTCGGGGAGGAACCTAAGAGCCAACAGAAAGGCCGTCCCGCCAAGTCTCACCAGGTTCCATGAGGCTCTGCTGCCCCCTTGTGGCCAGTACATGGCGGACTGAAAGAGCGCTTCTTGCGGGAGAACGCTGAGGGTCGGAACAGACAATGCCAACAAAGGATCTTAGAACGGTGGACGCGAGCGCAGGAAACCAGACACAAGAGACCGCATGCTGCAGGATTCCAACTTATATGAAGTTAAAGAACAGTCGGAATGAATCTGCGGTGATAGAAGTCAGCCAGGGGGTTCCCTAGCAGGCTGAAGGGGTAGTTAGGACAGGAAGGGACACGGGGGGGGGCACGGGGGACAGGGAAGGGGGGGGCACACTTAAGTCACGTACTTATTCACTTACCGAAGAGTTGTCTTTATTCGTATTCATTTTACAACAGAAAAATTGAGTTCCCTCAGGGAAGTGGTGGGACAATGTCAGCATTTCTGTCCAACCAAGTCCCCACACCTTGGTCTCTCCCATGATGCTCCCCAATCTCACTGCTCCCCTGAGGCCTGAGAGGGTGAGCACCTCCCCCTTCATAGATCCCCCACAACACACACACACACACAGAGGCACGACTGCATCCTGTCTGCAAAAGGCCCCTTGGCTTTTCTCTGCCACAACCGCCTCCCCATTTACCCCTCGTGGCGCTAGTACTGAAAGTTTCTGGACACACTCCCTGCACTCAGTTGTTCAGGGGGCACTTATTGACAGCTGGCTGCACACATCTTGGGAAGACCAACAAAATCTCTTGGGTGGGGGAGGGTGAAATGGGTGGAGGGAATCAAAAGGTACAAACCAGCAGTTATAAAATAAATAAGTGAGGGGATGTAACATTCAGCATGGTGACTATAGCTAATAATACTGTATTGCATACTTGAAAGTTGCTAGAGAGTAGATCTTAAAAGTTCTAATCACAAGAAAAACAATTGTGTAACTATGTATGGCAATGGATGTTAACTAGACTTATTATGTTGTACACCTACAACTAATATAATGTTATATGTCAATTATGCCTCAATTTAAAAATTAATTTTTAAAAAAAAAAGAAAGTCTCTTGCCCTGAGTAGCCTCACAGTCTGGCTGCCTGACAGGGCACATGGTAAGGTGGAGAAAATCATAAAGCAACATGGACAAGAAGAGCAGAACCCTCAGATACACCAGAAATGAGATACAGAGGAGACGGGGGAGAGGGGCTGCTCCTGGGCGGAGGAGATGGAGAAGTCCCCTCGGTTTCCAGCTTTGACTCTCCTGGGGAAACTGCAAATTCCCTGGAACAAAGCTGAAAATGGCTGGTGGGCACCTGACCTCTCTGAGGAGCCATCTTCCTTGCCAAGAAGACACTGGCTCAGACAGCTGGAAGCAGAGCTTCAAAGGTAGAGGGGGAGTTAAAGACTAAATCCCAGGAGGGAGGGAGATGAAAACCAAGCTGAAGACCCTACAGTTTCTGCTGAGAAAGAGCACAGTCCTGAGTGAGGAGAGAATGTCGCCCACCTCAAGGGAAACTTAGTCCTTATCCAGCATCCGTGAGGGCCAGAGTGAGAAGAGAAGTATGAGAGCTGGAGGGTCCCAGAGGGAAGCAGAATTCCACTGAGATGGT